CCCCCCCCAAAAAAACAGCAGACCCCCGAGAGGCCCCCGAGCAGCCCTTCAGGGGGCTTCAAGAAACCCCCAAGATGCCCAAAACAGGTCCCCCTGAGAGGCCCACGAGAGGGGTTCAGAAATCTCACCCCTTTGCGACCTGAACGCCCCTACCCCTACCCCCCCGCCCCTCAAGGTCATCCTCCTGCCTTCCCCCGCCCCTCGCGGTTACCTTCCTCTGCTCGGTGCTCGTGCGCGCCGCTTTTACCGTCAGAACTCCTTCACCAAACCCCGCGTGGACTCGGCGCCGAGAGCAATGTGGCACAGACCATCAAACAGACCATGCGACATCAGGCAATCGTCGCGGCGCGGGGTACAGAGGGGGCAAGTGCGCACGGTATGAGATGCGCGAGTAAGGCATGATGCCAACAAGCCCGACATTGAGGCAGACAGGAAGGGCAGTGTTGGGGTAGGGCGGGCTACGACGCCTACGCTATGCTCCAGAAGCTGGGGCTCAACGTCGATTGGGAAGCCATCCGCGACAGGCACATCAGGAACACCTCTGGCAAGGGCTCACACCGAGCACAGGGCTGGAGCTCCAGTTCCCACCAGCAACCGTGGGATCAGCAGGCAGAGTGGTCCTGGCAGACAGGATGGCAATCCTGGCAGGAACACGACTGGCACGACGGGGGAAGCGTGGCAGGAAGCATAGTGGCAACGCCGACCATGACGACAAGAGAACAAGTTGAAATTAGGTCCCCACGGCCAGGGACCACTCGGCCGAGGTCTTCGCTCAATGATGGTGAACGTCAGCCACTACAGCTCTGCCCATGCCCCTGGCCAGTCTTTCAGCATTTCTCCTTCTTCCCTCTCGTCACCGACAGTGCGACCCTCAGTCGTCCCTGGCAGCCCTCACTACAGATGTGCGCCATCGGCTGGGCACCTCTCTCCCTCCCTGGGCCTGCATTCCCGTCCCGCCCTCCCCCCCCTCCTCACCAACCCTGCGACCGTTAGTCGTCCCTGGCAGCTTTCCCAGCACTCTGTCTCGCCCACGGCCTGGAGGGCTCCCTTTCACGTTAGGCAAGTCAGCTTCCTGGTGGGGGCATGCTGCCGACGACTGTGGTGGCTGCTGTGCCTGGACGGCCCCCCCACAGCGCGCGGGCCAGGCGCTGGCGCTGCCCCCCGCGGCACGCTGTCCAGGCGGGGGACGGATGCAGCCGGCACGGTGCTTTCACGGCGCACCGCAGGCCCGCGCTCGTCTGCCCCCCCTCCACACCAACCGTGCGACCCTTAGTCGTCCCTGGCAGCACTCCCAGCACTTGCTTCGCCCGCGGCCCGGAGGGTCCCCTCTCATGCCAGGCAGCAGTCACCGAGTTGGAGCGTGCTGCCGTCGACTGAGGTCGCCCACAATGCCTGGTGGGCCCCCCGTGCACAAGTGGGCCTGGCCCTGGCGCTGCCCCCTACGGCACGTTGCACGGACGGGGGACAGATGCAGTCGACACGGTGCTGTGCACTGCGCGCAGCATGCCTGTCATCGACCGCACGCTACGCCAGCTCCCACCTCACTTGGCGGCAGTGGCCTTCAGCCCCCAGCGGCAGCCCCGGGTCGTGTGGTGAGAACCTTCGCGGCGCCCGGCAAGGTCCCTCGCCCTTGAGATGCCCCCCGGGTACCGTCAATACCGGGCTCGCGGGACGGGGCGGGCTCAGCGCGCCCATCGGCCATGGCCGCTACTGTAGTGGGATTCACCCCGGCCGACGCTGGACTTGGTCATGGCCTGAACCGGTCCCTCGGCTTCGGCCCCCGTGGGCCGCCACGGCCCCTGCTCGGCACCTGGCTCGGCCTCCCCGCGCCCTTGAGGAACCGGCCCCCAGTTGCCGTCAATACCTGGCGCGCTGTCTCCGCAGGGGCGGGGGCGACGTGCCTTACGGCCCTGGCCGTCTCAGTACTGTCTCACTCTGGTCTTTGCCTGACCCCGCCACGGCCTGGCGTGGTTTCCCCGGCTCTGGCCCTCTCGTGACGTCAGCGACTCACGCGTCTTGACCAGCCCCGGTACACGTGCGTACACACTCCGGGCCCTGGTCCCCAGACACCGGTCGGCTTGGCCGCGTTTGGCTGAAACTCCGCCACTGGTGCTGGGCTTCGTCCTCCTCAGCCGCAGTGGTGGCGCCCATTACCTGGCCGCATACTCTCTCCGTTGCGTGGTTCCGAGTGTGCCCTGGCGTCAGGTCTCGCGAGTTCTGGCCGGTTCCAGCAGTGCTTGCACTCCCCTTGGCTCTGGTCTTCAGCTGGCCCCCGGGGTTCTGGCCGCCGTGTCTCGCAGGAGTGGTTCAGCCTTCTTGTCCAGCCCGGCGTGTCCCCTGGCGGTCTGCCTCTCTGTCCTCTGGCGCCCAGTGGCGACAAGGATTCATTCCCGTGCCTGGTGATCTCGCTCCCATGGTACTCGCACGTTGCAGCTCCCCGCCGCCTCCGCAGCTAGCAGCTTCCACCCCTCAGCGCAGCTCAGCCCCGGCGCAGCTTCCCTCAACGGTAGGTTTAGTCTGCCTGCGCGGCGCGCGCGCCGGCAATTAGGGTGCTCGCGGTCCGTGCTACTCTACTGACGCTGTCGGATCGTCGGCCTGCAGCTGCGACTACAAAAGAATCCCCACCAGCCAGCCCATCCAGAAACGATGCCAAAGGAAGTTATCGGAAGAACGGGTGTAAACAAGCATATAGTGAACCAGCAAGGCCAACAATGGTTCACTTAGTCATCTCTGGGAACCTCGTTGAGGCCTCTTGGGGCCCGTTTGGGGCCGCCGTGGGCCGCGAGTCGCTTCGGTGTGCTGGAAGCTGATGTTTTGCATAAGGCCTGGACCTGTAGTAACAGTAGGGGCCAGTGTTGCACGCAGCTGATTGCTGAGCCGGAGGGACCTGTCGCCGCACATTCTGTGTCGCTAAGCTGCCAGCGGTTTGACCAGTGCAGCTCGCTGCCAGCCCTGGGTCGAGGAAGTCGCCTCCAGGTGCAGAACACGTGAAGGCACTGGCCGTCGCGATTTTTTTTGGGGGCGGACCCCAGATCTGAGGGCTCTGCACCTTCCCTCTCCCGCCCTCGGAGGACGGCGGCGACATATCGCCCCGCAGCGCCCTTCGCCTTCGGAGGGCGACGGCGACGTCAAGTACAGCCTCGATCCTCCAACCCCCTCCTCCAGCCTCGATGCAGCGACCTCGATCATCTATTGCCCAGCCCCGATTCCCTACTCACGACCTCGGAGCAAGCTTGCAGACCCAGCGCGCTCTCTCTAGCTCGACCTGCCTGACCCTGCAACCCTCCTCAAGATCCCAATCGGAGCCCCTGGAAGCCCCCGCTCCCCGCGGTTCCAGCCTGCTTGCCCATTGCCGACGCAAGCAGAAATCTGCCAGCCTAGAGACGACACAAACAAGAAACTGCTTGCTCATAACCGACACACACATGAGATTGTCACTGGGATGGCCCCACAACTGCACCACAACTGCACCACAACTGCATCACTACTGCACCACTACTGCACCACAACTGCACCCCAGCTGCACCACAATGGGCCGCGCAGGCGTCAACTGCCCCACAACTGCACCACATCTGCAGCACTAGTGCCCCGCCGCTCCTCCACGAGGCACTCTCGACTTCCTGCTTGCGCTCTGTTATCACGAGTGTATGCCTGCCTGCGCTTTCCGGTTGCCTCGACCCTCGAATCCTCGAATCCTCGACCCTCGATCCCTCGACCCTCGAATCCTCGATCCTCCAGCTTCCTGTCTCGATCCTCCATCCCTCGGTCCTCGAGCCCTCGAGCCCTCGACCCTCGACCCCTCGACCCCCGATCCCTCGGTGCTCGATATCTCGAAGCTCGGTCCTTCGATCCCCGGCCCTTCGATCCTCGGCATGCAAGCTCCTCCCGCTGCTGGCGTTCTCCCGCTGCGTGCGCCTCCCTCCTGCTGGTCCTCGTCCACCTCTTCCTCGTCGTCGTCGTCGTCGTCGTCGTACTCCTCCTCCTCCTCCTCCTCCTCCTCCTCCTCCTCCTCCTCCTCCCTCCCTCCTCCTCCTCCTCCTCCTCCTCCTCCTCCTCCTCCTCCTCCTCCTCCTCCTCCTCCTCCTCCTCCTCCTCCTCCTCCTCCTCCTCCTCGCCTCCTCCTCCTCCTCCTCCTCCGCCTCCTCCTCCTCCTCCACCTCCTCCTCCTCCTCCGCCTCCTCCTCCTCCTGGCCAGTACAGTGCCGGCAACGCGGCAGCGAGGCCTCGCCGAAGAAGGAGAGGGCACCGAGCAGCGCGCCGCCAGGGAGATTCGGCGCGAGCGGCCGAGGGTCGAGGAATCAAAGAGCCGAGAAGCCTGGCGTCGACCTTCGGGGGTCGAGGTTCTCAAGGGGCCCAAGGACACACAAATGAATACACACAAACAAAATGATTCCCCCCCGTACTTTTCCATATGTTCTGGGTTGCTGTCTTCCCGCCCAGTTCCCATATTTCCCCACATTTGCCTGGGGATCGACGATTACCTGTGTCTGTGTGTTTTTTTTCCCCCCTGAGGTTCGCAGGGTCGAGGCTCGAGGTCCGCAGATTGAGCATAGCGGATCGGTCGAGGCTCGCAAATGTGGAGCACGGAGGATCGCCGGGCCCAGGATTCGACGATGCAGGGGTCGGGGATCCAGGATCCCAAGGGCCGAGCGTCGACGGCCCGAGGATCGAGGGATCGAGCATCGATGTCTCGAGGCTCTGAGAATCGAGGATCGAGGGATCGGGGATCGAGGATCGAGGTTGGAGGATCGAGAGTCGAGCATCCAGTTTGGAGGATCGAGGCTTGGGAATCAGCATTGGAGGATATCCAGTCGGGGTTGGAGGACTGAGGTTGGAGGAGTGAGGTTGCAGGATCGAGGCTCGATTCGACATTGCCGTCGCCCTCCGAGGGTGGAGGGCGCTGCGGGGCGACGTCGCCGCCGTCCTCCGAGTGCGGGAGGGGGAAGGCGGAGAGCCCTTACAGCTGGCGTCGTCAGATAATAGGGAAGGTCAACATGTCTGCGTGTTCTGCACCTGGAGGCCAACTTCTTGACCCAGGGCTGTCAAAAAAGGCACTAGACAAAAAGCTGGCAGCCTAGCGACTCAGGATGTGTGGCAACAGGTCTCTCCAGCTTAGCAATCAATTGCGTGCGAAGCTGGTCTCCATGGTCATCGCGCCTCTTCGCCTTATGACATACAAAATCCAGCATACCGAAACGACTCACCGCCCCGAGGCAGCACAAAGAAGGCATCAAGAGGCCTCCGCATGGTTCCCAGAGGTGACCAAGTTAACCATTCTGCGCCTTGCTGATTCAATCTATGCTGGTTGTGCACCCCTCCTTCCGAAAACCCCCCTGGGCATCGTTTCTGGATCGGCTGATGGGGATGCGCGAAGCGTCAAGAAATGAACGGTAAACCCAAAGACTGCCCTTATATTATTCCTTAATGTTGGGCGCCTCTGCATCATGTCTTACACGCGCAGATCATTTCATGAATGTTTTGATCCCATATTCCCCGCACCCCGACGATTGCCTGATGTAGCATGGTCTGTTTGATGTTCTATGCCACCTTACTCCTCACGAGAAACCCGCGCTCCTTGGCGAAGGAATCCTGTCGATCGGCGCAGGCAAGCACCGAGCAGGAAGGAGCAACCCTGAGGGGCCGGGAGGGGGCCGGAAAAGATGGCCCTGGGGGCGAGGGGTAGGCAGGCAGAGAGCCTTGAAGGCTGCCCAGGGGGGTCAGTGGTTCTTTGCGAGCGGCCTGGACATTCTCGTTCTGCCCTCCCGCCCGACGACGGGGCGGGCTGGCAGCAAGCATGCACTCACCGCTGGCGGTCTGCCGGCGACTCGGCGACTCGCAGACGGAGGGCCCTCGCTGATGGCCTCCATGATGGCTCCAAGGTGGCCCAGAAGGCCCACAAGAGGGCCCCGAGAGACTCCGAAGAGGGCCACAGAGGCTCCTCGAATAGCCCCAGGAGGGCCCAAACATGGCTCCAGGCTCCAGGAGGCATCCGACTGGCTCCCTGAGCGAAAGATTCTCCCCCTATCCTCCTCTTCCTCCTGCCCCTCCTCCCATATCCCTCCCCTCCTCCTCCCACCTGGGGATCAACAGACATTGAATGGGAACATGTTCCGTCAAAGTCCTGTTCCTCCCTCTTTTTCATCGCACTCCCTCCCCTCCTTCTCCTTCACTTCCTCTTCCCCCTCCTCTTCTTCATCCTTCCCCTCCTGCTCTTCCTCCTCCCTCCACCTCCTCCCTCTCGTCCTCTTCCCTCGAAAGCATAAGCGAAGGAGAGCTGTTCCGGTGGACCCCTGCTCTCCCCTGGGGGGGACAGCTTATACAATCGACTCCCGAGTGTCTCACCAGAGAGCAGTCGCGGCCGACTGCCCAGTGTAGGGGGCCACTTGCGAACCCTACCCCTACCCCCCCCCTCAGAAGTCGTGAGGGGCAGGGGTAGGGTTCGCATGCGGCCCCCTATGAATGCCCAGTGTTTCGAGGAGGCCTTCTGTGGCGAAGCCAAGGATCCGTCTCCGAGGAGGCCCGCCCTCGCGCCGTCGACCCTACGAGCAGACCCCCAGGCGAGAACGACCAAGAGAACGCGGAACTCGTGGCCCTGGGACACACACAGAAATAGACGCAAGTGACCGGATGCCCCACATTTTCCCATATTTTTCTGGGTTTTCATCTTCCCCCCCACGTCCCATATTTTCCCATATTTCCCCGGTGATCGACGATGAATTGGGTCGGTGTGTTTTTTCCCCTCCTGGTCATTGTGTGCCACTGCATGCTCCCGTGATTCGCTTCTGGATGGGCTGGTATACTTTTTTGGTCGGCGGCTCCGAGGCGGCGGACAGGGAGCGGTAGGCTGATGGGCTGGTACACGCGATGCGTCTAGAATATCGAGGGGGCCTGCACCCGAGTCAATCGCCACGGGAGCGTCGGACACCCCAACATCGATTGGGGGGTCGTGGGCAGAAGCGGTCAGCATCGAATCGATAAACAAGATCGGATCCGAATGTGCATCCAATCGGGCCGCACCGGCTCGAAGTCGGAGTCGGAATCGAATCAAATCGGCCGTTCAGGACACCCAACAGAGCCGCGCAGACATCGGGTAATTCCGGATCGTCGGAACATCGGAACCGAATCAGATCGAGCCGGCCGAACCCGCGATCTGATCGACTCGATACGATCGAAATAGACCCTGGTGGGCGGGACCCTGTGGATGCGGCATCTGCCATATCCAGATCCACAGCATCGCGGCCTGGAGGCCACGACCCTGTAGATGCAGCAGCGGCCCGCGTGGTTGGCTGCTGCCCCCTCCCCCGAAGGCCCCCTCCAAAGCCGCGCACCAAAGGCCACCCCGGCGAAGGGCCACTGCTTCGGGGTCCCGAGACGGTACGGTGACCAGCGGCGTGGCGAACTCGTGATCCCCAAGAGACCTCACCGCACGGTCCGTCACCGCGTGAAGTTGGGACCTCGGAGGCCCCAGTCGCCCGAGAAGTCATCGGAGAGAGACGCGAGCTCCAAGCGGTCGCCTCGACTCCCCACCGAGTCACCGCACGGTGTGCTCACCACACCGTTTGAGGATCCACGAGAGAAGTGGCCGCACATCGTCGTGGCCCCGGGGAGCCTCCAGGCCCAAGACACGACTGGCTCGGGGTGGGTCCAAGGAGCTCTGGAGCATCCGGCGGCCCTCCTCGCTGGAGCGCGGTCGGAAAAAAATTGGAGAGATTGGAACACCTGGGAACTCGAGGCCTCCAAGATGCCTCGGGCAGGCCCCCGAGAGGCTTCTCACGAGATCCCAATGGGCATCCAAGAGGCCTCTGAACCACAACCCAGGCATGGTGGCAGGATGGACCGAAGGCCACTATGTAAACATTAAAAAAGAACATAAGTCACGCGGCACCCAGAAGCCGCAACAGCGGCTCTCCCCCCAGCGGTCGGCGTGGCGGCGTAAGCCAAAGAATCTTGAAACGCATCATGGTCGTGAAACTTTGCTCTGAGAGATTGGTGGCAGATCCTCTTGGCCCCGGAGAGAACTCAGGCGGCCCTTGCCAGAGCCCGCGCAGCCGACCCTGAGATCCGACGCTGCGAACAAAATACAGCATCTCAGTCTCGAAAAGTCACGACCAACGCCCTGGACCCTATCTTTCTGCCGCGTGTTTCGAGCCGGATCGGTCTGTGCTAGTCCCGGGGCCCGCAGCCGGGCGAAAACGCCCGGTGTGCACAGATTGCACCGCCAGGATCTCAGGGTAGCCCAGGTCCTTCCTCCGAAAGCCCCTCTAGAAGTATCGACTAATTGGGACTGTATTAGCAGAGACGATTATTGGTTAGACGATTAGTTACTCCTCAGTGAAATTCGCAATCCCCTGAGAATCCTCTGTTTGACTAATAGTAGAAGAATCGTCCCCCTCTTGGCACCAGGGGGGCCTTCAGGCCGCCCTTGCCGGAGCCCGCGCAGCCTACCCTCAGGGCGCACCAACCGCCGCCGGGCTCCGCCTCGGTGGCGTGGTCCGTGTCCTGCGCGCGTAACCCCCCGCCGTCCTGCAAAAGGCCCTCCGCCTCCTCCTCCTCCTCCTCCTCCTCCTCCTCCTCCTCCGCCTCCTCCTCCCCCTCCTCCTCCTCCTCCTCCGCCTCCGCCTCCGCCTCCTCCTCCTCCTCCTCCTCCTCCTCCTCCTCCTCCGCCGCCTCCTCCTCCTCCGACTGAAGCGAGCCGGCGCCGTGCGAGCTGTCCCGCCAGGGCTGTCAGCACAGAGCGTCCGACGACCTGGCCTTCCAGTCCCGACACCCTCCCCAAGAGGCCGGCCTTGACGGCCCCGGAGCCCGACGAACAGAGCGCCCGTGGAGGCCAGCGTGGGACACCGGGGGGGAGCGCTGGGATCGGGGGCGGGGGAGCCATGAGTGGTGACAGCACACTTTTGTGGAGGTCTGGGCTTCCAGCTGCCCCTGTTCGGCTACACGCAGGCGTGACCCTCGCAGGCGCGGGTTGGCCTCCGGGGCGCGGCCTTCCGCCAGCTGCGTGCGATGCGACCGCAGCGGCCTGCGCGCTCGGGTGTGGCTCCGCGCCCCCCCCCCCCCGCGAAAGCCGCGCGCCCCCAGGCCACCCCGGCGGCTCTCACGTGCAGCCGGAAGTGGTCGCACACGGCCGCCTCCCTGCCTCTTGGAAGCGCCTGTGTGGTGGGCCGTCCTGGAAGCTGTCTTGCGTGCCTTGGAGCCCTCTGGGGCCTTGGGGCCCGCTTGTGGGCCTTGTCCTGGTTTGGGCCTCTTCGGGCCGTTCTGGAAGTTCTCATAGTTACGCAGGGCGAAATATTTTCCTCTTGAGATGAAACTCGCGATGAGGAGCTCGCGAGATAGCATCGGCGCCGCCGAAAGGACGGCGACTGGATCAGCTCTTCGAAGCTACCAGGAGGAGAAAGATGTATTCATATTGAGTGGGGCCCGCGCGCGCGGAGAGTTGATGAGAGTGCGCGAGACAGTGCAAGACCCATCCTAGGAAATTGATAACCAAACCACCCTTCTACCGTAGAATCTTAACACGGGTCGGCCTGAGGCCCGGGGATCCGACTTCGGTCGGCTCTCTGATTAAATAAGGTCGAAATCAGATCCGCCGTGAAAAATGGGACGGGATGCGGAGGCCTCTTGGGAGCATCCTCTTGGCCCTTGGAAGCCTCCAGGCCGCCCTTGCGGGAGCCCCCGACAGGCGCCCCGCGCAAGCCGCGCGCCAAAGGTCACCCCGGCGACAGGGCCACCCCCACGTGCGGCAGAGAGTTGGGCACACACTGCGGGTTCGTGCCGTGTCGGCCCAGGCGTAGGTTCCCGACACCGCGGGGATCGCTCGGCCTTGAACGATCGGCCGTTTCCGAAACGTCCGATCGTTCCACATCAACCGACGCTGGCTCGCCGGCGGCGCTCAAGGTGGAACGCCGGCGGCGAGGTCGCAGGCGGTCGACACAGCACCAGCCTACCGCAAACGCGCGCGCGCGCGGAGCGCGGCCCGAGACAGACACCCGAGGCAGCAGGCGGCGGCGGCGGGCGCCTGCAGCAGGGCAACAGGCGGCAGAGCACGGCGGGCGGCAGAGCACGGCGGGCGGCACGGCAGCGGCGGCCAGCGAGGCGTGCGGACAGGCGGACGCTGGGAAGCGACAGCCCGGCCCAAGTGGGGGATGGACGAGCCGGCTGGCGGCCTGCGCTGCGGGGCCGTGGCCTCGGAGGACGTTGTGCGCCCGGGTCCACGCGGGCACATGGTGATACTCCTAGGACTCGGCTTGCAGCGTCATCCACCGAGCTCCAGGTTCGAGTCGAGTCTCGAGCGGAAAGAGAAAGAGGCTACGCGTTTCGCCCCCTGAGGGTTCTTCGGGCCAAATTAACTACGGTGCAGCATCGAGCGAGCATCGTCGACGATGGGACCGGAGGCGGAGCGGAAAGGAGCAGTGTACAGTGGGGGGAGTCAAATTAGACTGGCGAAAGACCCAATCATTTGCAATTGTGAATACCACAGTTGTGGGTACCGTCTTCAGTAGAGCTCCCTATGGGCCACGAAACGCTGTACTGGGCGGGGGAGACGCATGCGAACTATTCCGCTGGGGCCGTGGGCGTAGCTCCCTGTGGGGCTACGAAACGCTATACTGGGTGGGGGGAACGCATGCCACCTGTTCCACTAGGGCCTTCGGTGGAGCTCCCTGTGGGCCACGAAACGCTGTACTGGGCGGGGGAGACGCATGCGAGCTTTGCCACTGGGGTATTCGGTGGAACTCCCTATGGGCCACGAAATGCTGTACTGCGTGGGGGGGACGCATGTGGACTTTGCCACTGGGGCCGTCGGTGGAGCTCCCTATGGGGCCACGAAACGCTGTACTGGATGGGGGAGACGCATGTGGACGGTGCCATTGAGGCCTTCGGTGGAGGTACGTATGGGGCCACGAAACGCTGGACTGGGCGGGGGAAACGCATGCGACCTGTTCCACTGGGGCCTTCGGTGGAGCTGGGGAAAAAGCATGCGGACGTTGCCACTGGGGCCTTCGGTGGAGCTCCCCATGGGACCACGAAACGTTGAGGAGACGCATGCGGAAAGTGCCACTGGGACCTTCGGTGGAGCTCCCTGGGGCCACGAAACGCTGTACTGTGCTGGGGGTATGCATGCGGGCGGTAGCACTGGGGCCGTCGATGGTGCTCCTCATGGCGTCACGAAGCGCGTTACTGGGTGGGGGCTACGCAGGCGGGCGGTAGCGCTGGGACCTTCGGTAGAGCTCCCTATGGGGCCACGAAACGCTGTACTGGGCGGGGGGACGCATGCGGGTCCACGGTGGAGTTCCCTCATGGGGCCACGGAACATGTGATGGGTGTGCCGACATGGAAGGCTAATACGGAGAGCAGAAGCAGGGATGAGAGGGAAGGGGGGCAGCGGGAGGAAGGAACGCAGGGCGGTGCCTCTGCAAAACGAGGACCAAACACCACAGGATGGTTGGGAAACATATTGGACCCACCCGCCCTGCCGGCCCACCCCGAAACGGAGTCGGTGAAAGCACCCACCGACCATGATTCCAACATGGTTCAACCTGTTGCGTTTGGAAGCTCCCGCACAACCCAAACGACTGCCACGCGCGAGCTTCGCGCGCGCCCAGGTCGGAGTCCATCCGACGCACACCACGCTGTCAGCGAACAAACGCTTCTGCAGGATGCGCGGCTCGCACATCTTCTTAACATTGTGATGTTGAGCACGACGCCCACGGGTACCAATTGCGCAGGGGAGCTACAAACGATGGCAACACGGATCGCCCACATAACGCGACGCTGGGCAACGCTAGCTCCACATTCGAATTCGCCTCCTCGTTATTCTCTTCCGGCCCATCCCCGCTGCCCACTCATCCCCTTCCACACCCTCATCTTCATCTCCTACATGTCCTTCTCCTCCCGCTCCTTCTCCTCCTCCTCCTCCTCCTCCTCCTCCTCCTCCTCCTCCTCCTCCTCCTCCTCCTCCTCGCCCACCTCTTTATCCGTCCTAAAATGTCCTCCTCCTCCTCCTCCTCCTCCTCCTCCTCCTCCCTCCTCCTCCTCCTCCTCCTCCTGCTCCTCCTCCTCCCTCCCTCTCCTCCTCCCCCTCCTCTCCTCCTCCCTCTCCCTCCTCCTCCTCTCCTCCTCCTCCCCTCTCCTCCCTTGCTCCTCTTCCTCCTTCTCCCTCCTCCTCCTCCCTCTCTCCTCCTCTCCCCTCCTCCTCCTCCTCCTCCTCCTCCTCCTCCTCCCTGTCCTCGCCCACATCATCCAAATCCTCCCCGTCCCTGGCCCTCCTCTGCGTCCTGCTCCCCTACCGCCTGATCCTCATCCACCTCTTCCGCCCCGTCACCCTCCACCTTCACACCAGAATGCTACGTTGCTCCCTCTGATTGTACACGTCGCAACCTCTCGCCGTTGTCATGTCTTTCAGCTCTCTGATGCTGAACTGCCCAGGCGTTCTCCTTCTCCTGCTGCTCTACCTTATCATCTTCCTCTTCTTCGTGCGCCCTACCTCCCACCTCCGGGCTCCTGCCCTGACCACCCAGAAAACCTCCCAGAACCTCTAAGAGACCAGCAAGGACTAAGTAAGCCTCCCGGCTGCATTCAGAAACCTCGAACGTCTTGATGGCTCCTCTCTCCCGATTGCGGTGGGTTGGCGTCGCGATGACGTCCGTTGGTCTCTGACACCTCGTGAATGGTTCTCTTGAACGATCGCGGTTTTCCAGCAGCGCAGGTCGTTCAAAATCACCCTCCGATTCCAATGGGCGGCGTTCAACCTGAAACGCCCTCGCTGGGGTCGCTGACGCGTCAACGCGGCTCGAGTCTGGTAACGGTCGGCGAGCTCAACCGAGGACCCCAATACCACAGTCCGCATGGCACCACTTCGCCCATTCCGACACACCTTTCAACCCCTCAGACGCTTCGTGGCCACATCGGAAACTCCACTTAGGGCCCCAATGGCAGGTTTTCGCATGGCGCAATCCCGCTCATGTCGCCAACCCCCCCACACGTGTCGCGACCCTCTGGGGGGCTTCATCGAGGGCACACGAGACAATTAGGGTCGTATGGCGTCGCCCAGCCCATTTCGGCACACAACTCTCACGCGTCTAGGACGAGCAAACTGCAAAAGGCATACAGTTTCGGAGCTTCGTGCGGATCTCTTGGATCGGCGCCGGCGGCGCCGCCAGGGGGCTCCAGCGCAGATCCGAGAAGCTCGCGAAGCTCCGAAAGCGTATGATTATTTATGCAGCCCGCTCATCTTCGAGCGCCGTGGCCCCCGAGGGGGAAACGCAGCCCGAAGGCGAGGGGGCCAGGCGAGGGCGGGATCAGTCAGCATCGAACAAGGGAAAGATCAGTCAGCACCGAATGAGGAAATCGAAGTGAATCGGAATCTACGTCGGCTCGAGCCGCATCGGGACGAGATCGGACCTGAACCGTATCACATCAACCCCGCAAGGATGCATCGCAGCAAGCATCCGCTATCGGCCGAATCTGACCGTCAGAACATTGGAGTCGTATCGGATCAAGCCGCACAGAATCGATATCGAAAGGGATCGATCGGATCGTCGTCGTCGTCGTCGTCGTCGTCGTCGTCGTCGTCGTCGTCGTCGTCGTCGTCCTCGTCGTCGTCGTCGTCGTCGTCGTCGTCGTCGTCGTCGTCGTCGTCGTCGTCGTCGTCGTCGTCGTCGTCGTCGTCGTCGTCGTCGTCGTCGTCTGGACGCCGCCGCCGCCATCGTCATGATCGGTGCGCTTTCTCCCCCAAGGCAGCCCGGACAACGCCCGCCGTCCCCTCCGACGTGCGGCCGCGGACGGTCCTTGAGCTCGGCGGGCGGTGGCAACAACTTCCTCGGCACCCACGCGGTGGCCGCGCCCGGCTCCTCTCCAGCAGGAGGCGGACAACGACGACGACGTCGTCGACGACGACGACGACGACGACGACCACGACGCCGCCGACGGCGACGACGGCGACGACGACGGCGGCGACGACGACGACGACGGCGGCGGCGACGACGACGGCGACGACGACGACGACGGCGACGGCGGCGGCGGGGAGTAAGCGACCGCGGCGATTGCCTAAGGGAGGCGGAGGAGGAACAGGACGATGAGGTCAAGGGACGGTGCAAGGGGGACGGAGAGGAGCAGGAGGAGGAGAAAGCGATACGAGTTGGAGTATGAAGAGGATGATGACGATGACGACGGCGACGACGACGACGAAGGGCAAGGAGGGAGACGAAGAGAGATATTGTCTGAAACGTTAGTAAGAGAAAAAGGAACAACACCAAGTGGAACGGTGGAGAGGAAACGGATGAATACAATGAAAAGAATGAAGATGGCGATGATGACAATGGTGAGGATGATGTGATGAAGGTGATGATGACGACGATGAGGGGATGAGAATTCGGTGCCACCAAATTGATGTGGATACCCCCGATGCGCAGCCTCCCGCGCAAGGCCTTTCCCTCTGGCGCTGCGAGGGCGATTTCATTTAGGAGAACACACGCAACGAGCCCAATCGGCAGGTCCCCTACTATCAGGCCTTCAACCAATCGAGCCGCAATCTGCAGCTGCATGCCGTCTGTCCCCAGCTGGCACAGGAACGAAACAAGGCCGCACAGTCCGCCGTACAACACGATGGGCACGTTTGCAATAGGGGACAACAGAAGAGGGAGACTGGCTCAGGGAGACGATCTGGAATCGGCGACGCATAGGCGATATGCCGTCGATAGCGAAATCGCGCACGTTCCCGGGCGGGGTGGTCCCGACCTGCGGTGACAAGCCGATTGGGGATGGATGCTTCCCCCCGGCGCCAATCCTTAGAAGAAGGACGCCGGCATAGAAACAGAAACTTTCAGAGTTCCACGCGGATTTCTTGGATCGGCGCTGGACCCCCTCCCTGGCGCGCGGAGCTCGCCAGGGGCGGCGTCGGCGGCGCGGGGGGGGCCAACGACGATGCAAAGACCTCCGACCGTCGATGTATCATTTTCATGCGGGCGTGTCTTCTTCGGTATCCGCCCCTCGCTGCCCCTTTGTGTTTCCACCTCCTCCTCCTCGCTCGGTGCGTCGACGCTGGGGGCGGCCTCCGCTTCGACGAACAGCGCACGGCACAGCGGGCAGAGAGCTGCCACATGCGCCGCCTCAGGTAAGCACGTCAGGTGGAAACGGTGCCCACACCTCGTCGTCGCGCGAGACCGAGAGAGAGAAGCTGAAGGAGACAACCCGACTATGGGTTAAGAACCCCGTCGATGATGCTACCCTCGACGACGCCGGTGGTGGTCATCATGCAAATTTCTCGCACGGGATCGAGATTCCCAGAGCACACGCGGCTGCCAACATTTCCGAACGTCTTGTGGGTACTTGTAGGACACGCTTGGTAAGTTGCCCAGCCACTCTTTGAAGTAACTCGGGACTGAATTTTACACAAAGAGGCTGAAGCATCACCCTTCATAATTAGCATCGTCCGCTGCACTCCAAACTTTGGACAATCACACCAAGGATGTCGGAGAAAAGGTCGGGGACTATCGCACAACTTGTGCGCCTGACTGTTCCGAAGCCTCGCGTGAGTCTACGAAACTCCAGCAGTTTCTTTCCTTCAAAATCAAGGGACATCACGGGTTCTTGGTACGGATTACAACTGTTTGCGTCGACGCCCACATCGCCAATACCCTCGGGAACGAAGCGAATGCTGCGAACAGCTTGAAGGCATCGGGTGCGAGCAATGGCGCGGGCGACGCGGGGGCCTTCGTCTGAAGCCGCTGTCCCAAAACACCATTGGGCATAGCGTACATGGCGTGAAACACGGATAACTCGGGGACCATCATTTTCATCAACACAAAGTTCGATCACCCACGTCGGACCGTAGCCGCACACCTCTAGCCACAACTCATGGAAATGCGCCTGGTACCCTCGGAGGACGACCAGGCATGGTAAAATCTGATCACTGAGGATGGCTCCGCAGTTCTGCAACGCTGATGATTAGAGAGGACGCAGCTGAACTCTCATGGCCCAAGCCACCCCACGCACCACCATGCAGATCGTGACTGAATCACGACATGAAAAATCGAGCCGCCATACAGCCCCGGGGCGGGCTCCGCAGGGGGCACGGGCCAGAGCCATAAGCGTCTCACAAACGCAACCAACAATCGTCCCCGAACATCAGCAGCTCCTCGAACAACAGAGCGTAACGTCTGAACGGCTCGTCGAACCTTGCCCCAACCACCTCGGGGCTTGACGGGGGTCTCGGTATCCGCGGGGTCGCGCGCGAGGCCGAAGCGCTCGACTTCGCCAGGTTTCCCCCGCTCCTGCGTTTGCAAAATATCCGATCGGGTCGTCGAAGTCCTGGGTCAGCTGGAGGCCTCTAGCTAGGGAGTTCTTCAGCATTGGGCCCCGAAGAGGCGAGAGCACGATCGCCCATGCAGGTCCGACCGCGGGCAAGCCCCAATCCCCGAGGAACCAGGGTAGCAACCGCAGCGCCAAGGGCACGCGAGCCTCCTGGAGGAAGCTCACAAAGTGCCCGCAAAGGCTTGCGAGCTCGTTACTCACGCAGCACACTCCAGGCCCACTCCACGCACGCGTTCAGCTGGCAATAACTGAAGCAGAGGCTTGTTCAGCACGCAGAGCAGCGGCAGCAACGCCATGATCCATCGAGTCGCAAGCCGAACATGACGATTACCCAAAGCTAAAACAACACCTGCTCGGCATCTGACTTTCTCGTCGAACACGGGACGTAGACGACGTAGCCGACGAAGGGCCGCTGCGGTGGCGAGGCCGTGCGCCGGGGGCAAGGCCGCGGGGGTCGTCGACAGAACGAGCCCATTTTCTCGCTCGGCTTGTCGTGCTTTCGACGCCCACTTTCGCGGTGCACAGATTTCCAAGGCCTGCGTGTCTCTAGCGTTGCCCGCTCAGGGGCGTCCTGGCCGTCCTTCACCATAAAGGCCTTCACCTGGGTCGGCCCGCGTTCTCCATCCACCAGTACATCCGTACAGGCAGCATTGGGCTCTTCGGTGCATCGGGTAAGTCCAGCAACCGTCCGAAGCACCACATGGGCAACCGCATGAGAGGCGCCCGTCGCCCGCTTCCAGTCACGCCCTTCCTTGTAGTCCGCCGCGTGTTGACATGGAACGACTATAAGCTTATCACACGTTTTGTCACGGACGCATCCAGCTCGCAAAAACGGCGGCCTTCCACCCCAAGCCGCACAATCGATAGGAAGTATTGGCTGCAGGCGCGGCGGTAGTAGAGGTAGTGGTATTCGCCGTCCATGTTGCCCCCCTTCGAGAAGTGGCCCCAGAACTCACGTGAGCACCGCGCAACTTCCTGACCGTAGAAATCACTTCGCGTCGTTCTCTTCTGTTCGCGTCAGCAAAGCCCGACTCTATGTATGTAGTGGGCCCTCGCCAGGTGTAGGGCTCGAGGTGGTAGCTCTCCTCCATCGTGACCGCTGGCTGGGCGACCTCGACGGTGGGGCTGATGTGGTGGTAGTTGTTTGAGTCGAGCTCGAGCGCTGGATCTCCCCAGCCAAGGACTTGAGCTGCTCCTGCATCTTCGCGATGTCCTGGTGGGACGCCTTTCGTGTCGCCCGTGCCCTGGGCACCTTGACGCCTGACTTACCTACACTGGTTCATGCCCCCATCCACCCCAGAGAGGGTCGTCACGGATAAGCTGAGGTTGCCCCCCCCCCCCCCTGCCCTCGGCTTCGAAGTCAACAGCACCCCGGGGGGCGCGCGGGGACCTCGATGGAGTTCTCCCGCGCCCCGAGGAGTTCCGCACGGATATTTCTTGGATCTGCGCTGGACCCCCATCCCCGGCGCGCGGAGCGCGCCAAGGGCAGCGCAGGAAGCGCCGCCGAGGGGGCCCAGCGCAGGTCCAAGAAATCGGCACGGGGCGCCAAAAGTTAATGTTTATGGCGTTGTTTCTTCTTTGAGGCTACACCCCTACGGTGCCACGTCGGGCTATGACCTTTTCCAGCTGCCCTGGGACAAGCGTACCCGATCGTGGACACAAACCTATGGCATGCCACCAGCCGTCCGCTGATTTGCCTCGTGCCGGCGCGTTCTGGCGGCCTCGGCCGCGCCGGCCGGCCCCGCCAGGCGCACCAGACCGTGCGCGAGGTCCCCCACAGTGAAATGGCCCAGGGACACACAATTGAGCGTACACCATTAACCGGATCCCCGATGTTTTCCCATATGTTCGGGGTTGTCGTCTTCCCCCCCACTTCCCATATTTTCCCACATGTTCCTGGGAGCCGACGATTGCACTTAAGGCCCATGGCCACGGCGTGCCACCGAGGGCGCCCCCCCGGGGGCCCAAAAGCAGCAGCCAGAGGCTCACGACGGCGCAGGCCCCGTTGCCCGAGACCGCCGATCGATCTGTGTGGCCTGAGCTCCGACGGCGATTGAGAGGAGCAGCAGGAGGAAGAGGAGGAAGGGCAGGAGGAGGAGGAGGAGGAGGAGGAAGAAGACGGGGAGGAGGGGAAGGGGAGAGGCCGAAGGGGGAAGAGGAGGACGAGGAATGAGGATGAGCAGCACGAGGAGGGGAGGGGGTGACTGGACTAGACTGGCCTACTTTGCATAGACCAGAGATCCAAGACAAAATTGTTCCTCGGCGCACAAGAGGCCGAAGGCTCCTCTCGAGCAGGAAGGGGGCAACGGCGACGGCGACGGCGACGGCGAAGGCGACGACGACGACGACGACGCCGACGACGCCGACGACGACGACGACGACGACGACGCCGACGCCGACCTGGACGCCGACTCGGACGCGGACGCCGACGCCGACGCGGACGCGGACGCCGACGCCGACGCCAACGCGGACGCGGACGCAGACGCGGACGGCGACGGCGACGGCGGCGGCGACGGCGCCGACGACGCCGAAAGCCACGACGGCGGCGGTGACGACGACGGCGAGGACGAGGAGGGAGGAGGCTTGCTGGCGGCGCGGAACGGTGGCCCATGCATCGGGCGGCGCGCGGACGGCCCGCCGTCCGCGCAGGAGGAGGGCGGCGAGGAGGGGCGGCGGCGGCGGCAGCCCACGAGGCCCAGGCCTCCGACGCCGTGGCTCTCGTCCACGGCGTGGGCCCCCCAGTGCGCCCGAAGCCACACCTTCACGAGCGCCGCCCTGCCGGCCCCTTCCCCCCCGGTGTGGCCTCGGCCCCGCTGGCGGACGGACCCGCCTGCGCGGGGACACGTGCCTGTTCCTTCGGGGCTCGCGGGGCCCGTCCGCTCCGCGGAGGGTATGCTTGCGGGGCCGAAGTGCCAGGAGGAGGAGGAGGAGGAGGAGGAGGAGGAGGAGGAGAAGGAGGAGGAGGCAGCCTCGTCAGTGGCAGAGAGGAGTCTGGGGCCCAGTGGGGGCGGGGACAGGCTCGGCGAAGCCGACCCCGAAAGACTGCCGGTGCGTCGCGGGCCGCCCGTGGCCCGGCCCCGCTCGGCCCGAAGCGGGCCCCCGACGGGCCCACACTGGTGAAGAGGCGGCCGCCATCCCTCTCCCTCTCTGTATCTCTCTCCCTCGCACGAGTCCAATCACAAATCCCTCAAGGCACAGGAGCAAGACGAGGGGGGGAGGAGAAGCGGGCTACCCGCCGCCGCCGCCACCTCGCGCCGCCCTGCCCCTCTCTGTATATATATATATATATATATATATATATATATTATATATATATATATATATATGTGTGTGTGTGTGTTTCGATCTCCTCTCTCTCTCTCTCTCTCTCTCTCTCTCTCTCTCTCTCTAAATCTATACATACACGCATGTATGTAAGGACGGTCTCCGGGGGCCCTGGACCCCCCGACGAAATCATCTCTTGGCCTTGGGGGCGCCTCTCTCGCGCTTCCGCCGGCTTTCGCCGGGCCTCCGCCGGCGGGCCCCGCCCTCGCTTCTCTCCCGCGGGCGTCCGCCAGCCCCTCCCCCGGCTTCCGCCGGCGCCCGCCGGGGCAGAGACGTCAGGCCCTTCGACCCTCTGCAGGCTGAGCACCCCAAGGCTCGAAGCACACGATGGCACGTCGTCACCTCCCTGCCACGTTCGGCTGGGGACTTGGGAGCCCCAGAGTCGGCGTTCGCCCTCGCCCGTGTCTGAAACATGGCTGCGTCGTACCTCGAAGACGAGGCCCCTCCTGGAGCGCCTAACCTGTGTGCTCTCAGTGGCGAGGGAAGCCTGGTAAGGGAAGGGGATGCCGGAGCAGCAGCAGCAGCAGCAGCAGCAGCAGCAGCAGCAGCAGCAGGCAGGCGCCTGCACCACGGCGCAGAAGTGGCCGTTCCGCGCGGCGCCCCGGACGCACTGCGGTATCCTGCCGGGCCCGCCGGCCAACGACGGCGGCGACGAGGGACGAGGTGCGGGAGCAGGCGGAGGTGGACGGGTTGGAGGGGGAGATGGACGCGGGGGAACAGGAGGTGGAGGAGGGACAGGAGGAGGAGGAGGAGGACGAGGAGGAGGAGGAGGAGGAGGAGGTTGAGGAGAGGGGGCGACGACGACGATGACGACGACGACGACGACGACGACGAGGACTATGGGCAGAACGACCAGGCCAAGGAGGATCAGGGGGCCTCCAGGAAGGCCCGAAGAGGCCAAAATCATTGATTTCCCAAACGGTTGTTCAAGGAAAATGGCATTTGCTTCTTTTCGGCCTGCCGACGGCCCGAGACAGCCCCAAAGCTCCGAAAGACCGCCCCAAAGGCCTCCAGGATGGCTCCAGAACGGCCCAAGAGGACCCCAAGACGGCTCCAGGAAGGCCTTAAGAAGACCCAAGAGGCCTCCAAGACGCCCAAGATGGCCTCCAAGACGGCCCTGGAGCACCCCAAGAAGGTTCCAAGTCGGCCCAGAGAGGCCCCCAAGACGGTTTCTGACGGCGTCATATGGGCCAGGAATACCCTGAGACGGCCGAAGAGGCCGCCGAGAAGACCCCAAAGGCCCCAAATAGGCCCAAGGAGGCCCCCAAGATACCTCCAAGAGGCTCCCGGGAAGCTCCAAAGGAGCCCTATGAGTGCCCCAAGAGACTCCCGAGATGCCCTCCTCCTCCTCCTCCTCCTCCTCCTCCTCCTCCGCCTCCCTCCTCCTCCTCCTCCTCCTCCTTCTCCTCGTCCTTCCTCCTCCTCCTCATCCTCATCATCTCATCATCATCATCCGTCCCTCCTCCTCCTCCTCTTCCTCCTCCTCCTCCTCCTCTTCCCCCTCCCCCTCCCCCTCCTCCTCCTCCTCCTCCTCCTCCTCCTCCTCCTCCTCCTCCTCCTCCTCCTCCTCCTCCTCCTCCTCCTCCTCCTCCTCCTCCTCCTCCTCCTCCTCCTCCTCCTCCTGTCCCTCCTCCTCCTCTCCTCTGCTCCTTCTACTCCTCCTCCTCCGCCTCCTCCTCCTCCTCCTCCCTCCTCCTCCCTCCCTCCTCCTCCTCCTCCTCCTCCTCCTCCTCCTCCTCCTCCTCCTCCTCCTCCTCCTCCTCCTCCTCCTCCTCCTCCTCCTCCTCCTCCTCCTCCTCCTCCTCCTCCTCCTCCTCCTCCTCCTCCTCCTCCTCCTCTCTCCTCCTCCTCTCCTCCTCCTCCTCCTCCTCCTCCTCCTCCTCCTCCTCCTCTCCTCTCCTCCTACTACTATACTACTACTACTACTACTACTACTACTACTACTACTACTACTACTACTACTACTACTAACTACTACTACTACTACTACACTACTACTACTACTACTACTACTACTACTTCCTACTCCTACTCCTACTCCTACTCCTACCTACTCCTACTCCTACTCCTCTCCTCCTCCTCCCTCCTCTCTCCTCCCTCCTCCTCCTCCTCCTCCTCCTCCTCCTCCTATAGTATTCCTCCTCTCCTCCTCCTTATCGTCCTCCTCCTTCTCTCCTCCTCCTCCTCCTCCTCCTCCTCCTCCTCCTCCTCCTGCTCCTCATCCTCATCCTCATCCTCATCCTCATCCTTCTCCTCCTAATCTTCCCCGCCATCCTCCCAAAGTGTTCCCCGAAAGGGCTTTCACAACGGTTGGGGGAAACACATGGTCCGATAGCTTGGCAGAGTTCTTGCCACAACGCTCGGCCGTATGGGCAATGTCAAAAGGCAGGGGTCGGCGGTGATTCGCCGCATGCGTCTTCGATAACGCCAACGTAACCATATGCGCTGAGGAGTCCGAATCGCCCCCGCATGATGTTCCCAGATGTGCCAAGGCAGCGCCGAGGCGCATCGACGCAACTCTAATATATCCGATTATGATGGAGAGGGGGCCGGCGGCAGGGGGGCGAAGCCCTGACGGACACACACACACACATACATATATATATATATATATAATACATGCATGCATGCATGCATACACACATACATGTATACATACGTGTATACATACATACATATATACATACATGCATGTATGCATGCATGCATGCATGCATACATACATACATACATGCATGCATGCATACATACATACATACATACATACATGCATGCATACATACATACATATATACATACATGCATGCATACATACATACATACATGCATACATACATACATGCATGAATGCATGTATGTATACATGTATGCCTACCTACGTACACACATACATACAAACTTACATGCACACATACGTACATGCCTACAGACAGCTGGACATACATACATACATGCATGCATGCATGCATGCATGCACGTATAGACATACACGTATATGCATACGTACATACATGCCTGCAGACATTAATGTATACATGCAGACATACATGCATGCATACAGACATGCATGCATACACGTACAAACGCACATGCAAACAACCATATGTGTGTATACATGCATGCATGCATACACTCATGCATGCCAACATATGATACGACCGCTCACCGCAAACAAACGTGATGACGGGCCCGCAACACGCAGCCCCCATACGTGCGCAAGAAAGCATGCAGGAATTAGCTAGATAGAGGTGGATACATAAGCAGGCAGAGGGGTGTTACTGAGAGACGTATACCCGTTCAGCAACCGCAGCAACGTCGAGCACTAGATACGCGGGAAAGAACAGCGCCACGCGCTCGATCTATAGCAGAACAGCGCGCCTCGCTGAGCGAGGCAACCGCGCGGCGTGGCATGGCGGGCCAGAGGCAGCTGATAACGGGATACCACGCGGACAAAAAAATGGTAGCCATGCGCTGCGTGGCGCAGCGGCTCCCTGCAAGCTGCGATGCGACAGCGCCGAGCGCTGCGTGACACGGGACAGCGCCGAGCGCGGTGGGAACTCCTGCCATTTGGAATGCAAGTACTTGTCGTCAGTTGCTTTTTCTCGTCGCGACATCCCAGGGGCCCACGAAACTGGCGACAATTGCGCACTTCGCAGTCCCCCAGGGAGCCGCGAGGTCCCAACTAGATCCCCGTACAATTCCGCTCCGCGCGACCTCCCAGGAGCCCACGAATGTGGAGACCGCTGCGCACTTCGCAGCCCCCCAAGGAGCCGCGAGGTCACAACTGGATGCCCGTACAACTCCACTCCGCGCGACCTCCCAGGAGCACACGAAAGTGGCCACCACTGCACACTTCGCAACCCCCCTGGGAGCCGCGAGGTCACAACTTGATCCCCGTACAACTCCACTCCGCGCGACCTCACAGGAGCCCACGAAAGTAGGCGGTAGCGATAGCACAAACCGAAGAGCAAGGGCACGCGAATCATGCTCGAGGCAAGAGGCAGGAAGTAGGAGGCAGGAATCAGGAGGGGGGAGCAGGAAGGAGGAAGGAAGAAGGAATGGAGACCACAGTGCTCGATTCAAAACGAGAACCCAACACAGGAGGGTTGGGGGGGAAACAAATATGCAGAGAAGGAGAGAGAGATAGAAAGAGAGAGAGGAGGAGAGAGGGAGAGAGAGGGAGAGAGAACATGAGAGGGAGTTTTACGTTTCAGGCAATGCGCGCGCACCAGCATCACGCCCGCACGCCAAGAGGTAACCATATCACGTCCAAGAGCAACTTGTCGCTGACATCGCAGAGAGGTGGACAGAGAAGTGAAGACGGGAGCGGGGAAGAGAGAGAGAGAGAGAAAGAGAGAGAGAGAGATACATATATATATATATATATACACATATATATATATAGAAAAGGCAAAGCAAAACAAGGGCGAATAACATAGCCAGACGAACGGAATTGAGGGGTGAGAGAGACGATGAGAGAGGGATAAAGAAAAGGCAACAACAAAAGAAGAGAGAGAGAGAGAGCGAGGGAGAGAGAGAGAGAGAGGTATATGTATTTCTGCTGACACATCTAGCCACAAACGAACAACAACAACAACAACAACAACAATCACTTTACCCGAACGCTCAGTGTTCTCACCAGTGCCAGGGTTTTCATGCGACGCCAGCCAATACCCCCACTTTGTGGGGGGGCAGTGCAAGCTCTACCAAATATCCACACGACTCTTCGCCACCACCCACACCCAGCTTCCCGCCCTATGACGTTCGGACACTTCACTTCGTGGCCTGCGGACGACCGTGGCTACTACACTGGCGTGGAGTACACACCCACAGAAGTTGTTAAGCCTACGTTCGTACACCCACAGAAGTTGTTAAGCCTTGTTAACCCACAGAAGTTGTTAAGCCTTCCACAGAACATCTGTTGCATATGATGCATATGGTACATGATACACATGATACACATGATACGTACTCACAAGATAGTTGATCACATCTTTAGGGCAAATTCCTGAGGGATGTGGGAATACACAAGAGAGAGAGAGATATGGTTGTCCCGATGGTTGTCTCGATGGTTGTCCCGATGGTTGTCCTGATGGTTGTGGTTGTCCCGATCGTTGTCCCGATGATTGTCCCGCATGGTATTATTTGACAGGGATGATGGCCCTGGCAGGTGCGCAACCGTTGTCGCAGAAGTTCGAAAAAGTTGCTCGCAAAAGCCCGTTTGACAGAAATGTTTAAAAAGTGTTGGGTTTCCTACGAATCCGCAAGAGCGCGCGGGATGAGATTTTGACATTTTTTTGTTGAAAAACCATTGGTTTTTTGATGTTTTTATGTTAAAATCGCTCCGAACACTAAGCTTTTGGAAGGATTTCGTCTTGCGCGCGCGAATGTCCACTTTACCTTATTTTTTGCAAGGGATTCTTGAAATTTGATTATATTAGAACAAGAAATGTCATTTTATAGTGTTTTTTGCAAGGGAAAGCGGGGGGGAACAAAACAACCGGATCTTGATCACATCGAATTACCTGAGGCTTCCTCACGAAAATGATGAAAATGTAGCTGCGGCCTAGGCGGCGCAGGGGGGCCGTGCACCAGGGGGCCCAACAATAATTATTCTTTAGAATTAATAATGTTCAACAACAACAACAACAACGAAAAACGCCATGATCCATCGGGTATGCGCCGCGCGGCAAGCCGCGTGTGCGCCGAGCCCTCGTGGCCGGGGCAGGAAGGGCTGGCGAGAGAGGCGAGCAGGGGGGGAGGCCCGGCGCGGGCCGAGACGCGCGACGCGGAGCAGGGAGCCAAGCCGGGGGCAGCGCGGGAGCGCGCCCTCGGGGGCCCGCGGGAATGGCGGCCGGAGGGCGGTGGCGCGCTGGCGAGGAGCCTCCCAGGACTCCTCCTCCTCCTCCCCCTCCCCCTCCTCCTCCTCCCTCCTCCTCCTCCTCCTCCTCCTCCTCCTCCTCCTCCTCCTCCTCCTCCTCCTCCCTCCTCCTCCCCTCCTCCTCCTCCCCCTCCTCCCACCTCCTCCTCCTCCCTCCTCCTCCTCCTCCTCCTCCTCCTCCTCCCCTCCTCCTCCTCCTCCTCCTCCTCCTCCTTCCTCCTCCTCCTCCTCCTCCTCCTCCTCCTCCTCCTCCTCCTCCTCCTTCTCCTCCTCCTCCTCCCGCCTCCTCCGTGGCGGCACCCTGCCGGGCGGCACCCCGAGCGGGGGAGGCGCGGTGGGGCGCACTGGCGGGGCGCCTCCCAGGGACGTGGCGGTAGCCTCTCGGACGGCACCCCAAGAGCGGGGGAGGCGCGGTCGGCGAGGCGGAGCGAGCAGAGGCGGCGCCGCCGCGGGCGTCCTCTGGAGATGCAGGTCGGAGGGCAAGGGGGGGGGGGAGACCAGCGCCAGGCGGGTGCAGCCGAGAGCGCGAGGGAGAGAGGGAGAGGCACAGAGAGGCAGAGAGACAGAGAGAGAGAGAGGCGAAAGAGAGAGCGAGAGAGAGAGAGAGATAGAGAGACGGAGAGAGCGAGAGAGAGGGAGCGAGAGCGAGAGAGACGTAGAGAGAGATCGAGAGAGAGAGAGAGCGGGAACAGACAACTGAGAGCGTGAGTGTGCAATAGACAGACAGGGGAAGCACCGGCGACAAACACCGGGTGACACACACACACACACAAGCAGAAGCACAGGCGCAAGAGCAGCAGCAGTCACAGCAGCGTCGCCGCGGGTCCCCCGCTCGAGGCGCAGTAGCGACACGGGCTCGGGGTGGGCCTCCAGGCAGCAGGGCCCAGGGGGCTGCTGGGGCTCCTCGGGGAGGCTGGGCACAGGTTCAGAGGAGGGGGGAAGGAGGAAGAGGAGGAAGGAGGACGAGGAGGAAGGAGCCCCGAGGGAGAGACGGAAGAGGAGGAAGGAGGAGGAAGGGGGAAGGAGGACGAGTAGGAAGAGGAGGAAGAACGAGGAAGGGGGAAGGAGGAAGAGGAGGAGGGAGCCCCGAGGCCCAGGCGCTGCCATGGCTTCACTCCGGGCGTGTTCGCCCAGCGCCGGAGCCTCGGGCCATCACAAAGCGATCCGGCTCGGAGGACGCCGCAGGAAGATGGGGTCAAGGGCACCGGTCGTGACTTTTCGCAGCGCTGCAATTTGCCCGCAAGGTCGGGTGTCAGCAGCAGACTGCTCCTCCCCGCTTCTGCTCAACCTCCTCCCCCTCCTCCCTCAAGAGCAGGGAGGGCGGGAGGGCAGGGAGGAGGGGGAGGGAGGGATGGGGAAAGAGAGAGGGAGAGAGGATGAAACGGAAGGAGGAGGAGGAGGAGGAAGGATGGGGAGGAGGAGGGCCAGAGCAAACCCGAGATGCATCAACGATGCTGCAATTAGACCCTCCCGTCCCAGCCTCCTTTGCCAGCTTGTCTTCGCAGGCACTCTCTCGCTGCGCGAGGCGCCCTCCTTGAAAGACGGGCGCCCCTTGGGCCCGCAGCTTAGGCAGGAGCTCGAGCAGAGAGAGCCCACCTTCCCGGAGGGGCCCCAGGACGCACAAATACATGCACACAAGTACCAGGATCCCCGATAGTTTCCCATATCTTCTGGGTTTTCGTCTTTCCCCCCCCAATTCCCATAGTTCCCATATGTTCCTGGGGGTCGTCGATGAATTGTGTCTATGTGTTTCTTTCCCTCCTGACCTCCTTCCATCCGTAAAACGAAAGAGAATGCAGAAAGGTCGCGTCTCCAAGTTGACAAAACTGCCGGCGACAACCCTGCTTGCGAAGGAGCCGCCCTGCACCTGTGTAGCTGTCGCCTGTGCTTCAGATCTCTGGCCGTAAAGCCCGACCGAATCTCAGGCGAAGGCCCATTTGCTTTTGTACCAGAAGCCAAAACTACATCCGCGCAAATATTTCCATGTGTGGCAACGTGTGCGGCGAGACTTCAAAAGAGATCCCCACTTGGAAACCTGACCCAGCCCGTAACCAGGACCTTTCAGCAACGAGTGCGCGCGGCGCCGAGGCGAGGGACACATTTTGACAACGGCCCAACCTCCGTCCGCTTAAGTGCTGGAAGATGGTGGAACCTATGTTGAGGGATGAAAAAACGACCCTACCCTGGATTACAAGTGCGCGGTCTGTAAACCTCCTGGGAACCCCCAAAGCATGGAGCCGCCAGGACGCGGCACATGGCGCAGGGTTTACCCTGTCAGCCCACAGGAGTTTCAGCGCACAGCGCCTCGTAAACCAGGGTAGGGGCGTTTTTTCTGCCCTTGACTATGTGTGCTCGGCGTTGAAGCGAGAGCCGCATGTTGAGAAAGGCCCGCCCTTCACCCGCTGACCTGCTGGAAGCCCTGAAGATGCACGCGCGCGGCAGACAGGCGAGAGCCATGTTTTGGACATGGCCCCACCTCCGTCCGTGCAGTTGCTTGACATGTCAAGCTCCTGGGTCATCAACGGAGAGGAAGTCTCCGGCGCAACGTCCGGCCGTCCAGACGAGCGGGAGAACATCTGTAAGGAAGAAGGGGGAGTGGAGAGGGGGAGGAGGAAGGAGGACGGAAAAAGGGGGAAGGGGCGAGGAAGGGGGGGAGGACGGGGAGGAGGGAAGAAAAACGAACGAGGTGGAGAATGCGGAACCCAGACCTCCCTCCTTCTTCCTCCTTCTTCTCCTCCACCTCCTCTTCCACCACATCCCATCCCCAGCCATTTCGCGCCTGAGCGCCCCACCCACCCCCTGCACGGGGCGCACAAGGGTGCTTCGCGGGCAATCTTCGAAATGGCCTTGGCCGCGAGAGCCGACATCACGAAGCGTGGCGCCCGACGTGATCAGCTACAATGTTGAGGTCAGGCGCGTGCGCACCAGCCAGGAGGCGTGGCACACTCCGTCCCCTCCTCGTTTCTCCAGTCCTCCCGCTCCTCCACCTCTTGGCGAGCAGTGGCGCCAGTTGCGGCGCCGCTGCCAAAGTGCAGGCAAGCGTGAAGAAACTGGAGCAGTACATCAACAGCTACAATGTTGGGAGTGGTGCGTACGAAAACAGGCGAACAGGGGCCAGCCTTGATCAGCAGCGTCATCAGCTACAGTGCTGAGGCCAGCTCGTGCGTCGAGAACGCGCGAGCCAACGTCATCAGCTACAGTGCTGGGGCCAGTTCGCGCGGGAGACGCCAAGTCGGGAAGCAGTGCGAGAAGGCAAGCAGTGAAAACAGCGACTGTCAACAAGATAATGCGAGAAAGCAGCCATGCAAAAGCAACATCTTCAGCTACATTGCAGCGGGGGCCAGTTTGTGCGAGAAAACAAACAGTGGCAGCATGGTCTGTCCGTGCGAGCAGTCGGGCAATGGCACAAGCGGCTGTCGGTGCTAAACGGCCAGCAGGGGAAACATCTTCAGCTACATTGCAGCGGGGGGGTCAGCTTGTGCTAAAAGGCACGCGTTGGTAGCACGGCCAGTCGGTGCGAGAATGTAGGCGATGGCAGCAGCGTTTGTCGGTTCCAAATGGCCCGCAGAAGCAACGTCTTCAGATACATTGCAGCGGGGGTCAGCTCGTGCGAGAAGGTGGGCAGTGGCAGCATGGTCTGTAGGTGCGGGAAAGCGGGCAGTGGCAGCAGCGGTTGTCGGTGCCACTGGACAGCAGGAGCAACAGCGTCAGCTGATTTTGCAGCGAAGGCCAGCTCGTGCGAGAGGGCAAGCAATATTCGGCGGTGGACAGACCTCCCTTTAGTAACCTGCCTTGAGTGAAAACGGCCTGGGACCGAAACCGACGAACCTGGACCTGCAAAAATGACGGCCCCGACGCCTTCTCGCGAACCGAAAACGGCCAATTCCTTAATCGACGTGTCAGGGTAGGTCTATCCACCTTCGAAATATTTTCAGGGATGGTCGGTGCGAGAAGGCAGGCAGTGGCAGCAACAACTGTCGGTGCCAACGAGCGAAGCAAGCACATCTTCTCATCAGTTACAGTGCTGCTGGGGTCAGCTCGTGCGGGAGAGCAGTGGCAGCAGGGACTGGCAGTGCGAGAAGGCAGGCAGTCGTAGCAGTGTCTGTCCGTGCGAGACGACCGGCAAGTGGCAGCTGCGGTCGTCGGTGCCCGCCGGTGCAGCAAGAGCAACTCATCAGGTACAGTGCTGCTGGGGCCAGCTCGTGTGAGAAGGGCAGGCAGTGGAGGCGGGAGCTGGCAAGGCGAGAAGAGCAACCAGTGGCAGCGAGATTCGCACTGCGCGAGGAAGCAAGGGCACGCGCAAACGTTATTAGCCACAACGCTGGGGTCAGCTCCTGCGAATTGGCAGGTTTCAGCGCGCGCCAGGGCGCTCAGCAGGCCGCCTTAGAGGGCGATGCTGCCGAAGGACGTGTCGTGGCCCGACAGACGGGCCACCCCCATGGGGGTGCCCATCCCCACCCCCCCCCCTGTCGCTCCTCGTCGCCACC